AAAAAGTATTGGGTTGATAATACATATACAGTCATTGTTGGTGTCCTTACATCTGTTGCTATCAAAATATAAATGGAAGGTTTGGTGAATGATAAGGATCCTCTTGGTATCACTAATATTAAAGGGCTGGGTAGAAGATGATAATCTCAGGAAAGACCTAGAGTTATGAAGAATTATAAAAATAAAAGCATTAAAGGAACAAACAATAGTTGGTGTGATGGCACAAGCCTGTAGATCCCCTCCCTCTACTCTGCAGGTTGATGCAGGAGGATTGCTTGAGCCTAGGAGGTCAGGGCCAGCCAGCCTGGGCAGAATAGGGAGACCCTGTCTCTTTTAAAGGAAAAGAACAAAAATGAAACTTTTGTCCTTCTATGATGTATGTAGAAATTTAAACAAAATTATCATGAAATCTAAACTAATAGATATAGGAAAGGACTTCCTCAATAGAGCCCCAGCAGCTTAGCAACTAAGAGAAAGGATGGACATAATGGGACTACGTGAAATTAAAAAGCTTCTGCACAACAACAGAAATGGTCTCTAAACTGAAGAGACCACCCACAGAGTGGGAAAAAATATTTGCCAGCTATACATCAGACAAAGGACTGATAACCAGAATATACAGGGAACTCAAAAAACTAAACTCTCCCAAAATCAATGAACCAATAAAGAAATGGGCAACTGAAGTAAACAGAATTATCTCAAAAGAAGACACTTAAATGGCCAAAAAACACATGAAAAAATGCTCACCATCTCTACCCATAAAAGAAATGCAAATCAAAGCCACACTAAGATTCTACCTCACCCCTTGTAGAATAGCCATCATTAAAAACACTACTAACAACATGTGTTGGTGAGGATGTGGGGAAAAAGGAACCCTTGTACACTGCTGGTGGGAATGTAAACTAGTGCAACCACTCTGGAAGAAAATTTGGAGGCTCCTTAAAAAACTAAACATAAATCTGCCATATGATCCAACAATCCCACTCCTTGGGATATACCCAAAGGTATGCAACACAGGTCACTCCAGAAGCACTTGCCCACCCATGTTTATTGGAGTGCTAGTCACAATAGCCAAGTTACGAAAACAGCCAAGATGCCCCACTACTGATGAATGGATTAAGAAAATGTGGTATTTATACACAATGGAATTTTACTCAGCCATGAAGAAGAATGAAATCTTATCATTTGCAAGTAAATGGATGAAACTGGAGACCATCATTCTGAGCGAGGTTAGGTAGGCTCAGGAATACCAAAAATCATATGTTCTGCCTCATATGTGGACTTCAGATCTAGGGCAAATACAGCAATGTGATTGGACTTGGGTCACGTGATAAGGTGAGAGCACACATGGGAGTTAGGGGGATAGGTAAGAAACTCAAAAAACATAGTATTTGAGGTTCTCACTGCAGAGGAACTAATACAGAAACTTTAAAGCGACAGAGGTCAATATGAGAAGGGGATCAGGAACTACAGAAAAGGTCAGTTCGAGATGAATCAACTTAGAATGTAACACATTTATACATGGAAAGAATTCTAGGAATCTCCCTGTATAGCTGTCCTTATCTCAACTGGCAAAAATGCTTTGTCTTTTTTTTTTATTGTTTATACTCTCTCTTCAACAAAATTAGAGATAAGAGCAGAACAGATTCTGCCTGAAAGCAAGGTGGGGGGGTGAGGGGGAAGTGGGAGGGAGTGGGGGGTAAGGGGGAAATAGCCCAAACAATGTGTGCACATATGACTAAACGAGAAGAAACAATTATCATGAAATTCAGTTAACTACAACTTTATTTTTTGGCAGTACGGGGGGTTGAACTCAGGGCCTCATACTTGCTAGGCAGGTGCTCTCCCACTTGAGGCCCAGGGCTGGCCTCAGACCTCTGTCTTCCTGCCTTCTTCTCTCATGTAGTTGGGGTCACAGACACGTGCCTCTGTGCCTATTGAAATGAGGTGATTAAGATGCCAACTTTTTGCTGGGGGCTGCCCTCCAACCAAGATCCTCCTGCTCTCTTCCCTCCTGAGTAGCTGGGATTACAGGTGTGTACCACTGCACCTGGCCCATAATTTTAAGGAACCACTTATTTTCTGTGTGAAGTAAAGAAACATGGTCTTTAGGTAGGAGTAGGAATTGGGCCACGAGAGTTGTAGTAAAGGATTGATTAAAGGCTGAGAGATGTAGAGGAACTGGTAACTGTTTTGTCAAGTATATTTGAGCACTTAAGTGTAGCAGTGTGGTAGACAGATAGCATATGGAATACAGATACAAGTTGAAGGGAAACAATCAGGTTGATGGACTGTTTGGAGTATTTATTGGCCTAAAATTATAAATTGAGACTGTGGATGGTTTAATTAATAGGTAATTATAAGATTGTAAGACTGCTGCTTTTGAAGAACCAAGAAGTGGTAGTGGTCTAGAGAGTCATTGTGAGGATGGGGAGAATGTATTTTAAAATGTGACTTACAAATCCAAGTGGATCTCTATACAAAATCATAAACTAAAATAAATTCTAGGGAGGTACATGCAGAACACTATTATAAAGCATATTAGAGGAAAATAGGATGAAGTTTTTTTAAAAAATCAAATGTATGGAAGACCTTTCTAAGTTTAATAGGGAGACTAGAATTAAAGAAAAGGATTGGTTGACTACGTAATTGTAGAAAAATAAAGTATAAGGTCTCAGATACTTCCCTAGGTGAAATTAATATAACTGAAAAATAGCTGACTAATTTGCAGTATTCCAAGTGTTCTAAGTTTGGTCATGGAAATGGGACTCAGGTGCTGCAGAGGTTCAAGGGACCATGGATTGAGAATGCCAAGGTCTTTAGCAATGGGCTTTAGGAAGTCATATTAATATGGTTGCTAGAATCCCCCAGGATTATGGCTGGTAATGTGTCAAGTGGAAGTCAGAGATACAGCTTCTGGAATTCTTAATGAATGTGGGGAGTAACCAGACTCGGATGGTATGGATATGGTAGTAGCATAGATTGAATACATGGGCCTCACAGGATATGATATTGACAGTGTTTGTCACCATTCCTGAATCTTTCAGCCCTTCTGGAGCTATAGACACACCTGACTACAGAAAATGTGAAAATCATGTTGGAATCTCTTTGTGTATAACTAGAATCCTCTTTGGCTTGCAAAGTCACTAGCCACAAAGTGATTATAGCTTAAACTCCCCCATATTTACACGACGGGTGTAGACTTCATTAGAGCTGTGTAATCTTGGACCTTCTCATCTTAAATGCACTGATTTTATGTAGATGTTACTGAAGTAGCAACTTTTTAGTCTTTTTGAAATAAAAAATTAAAGGTGGATTCAAGTGTAATCTCATTTCTGAAGTAGATAGATTAAAAACTAAATATAATCCTCTAGAGAGGAATCTGGTTAAATTTTCACGTACAGTTCCATTACAGTGATTTTTAAAAAGTACATGCTGAGGTTGGTAAGAGGAAGAAGATAGAGTCAAGCTATAGAAAAGCTATTTAAAATTGGACAGTCTTCATTTGTCTCATTAACTCATTCAGTAAATATTTATTGAGGTAATATTATCCTTTGCTAGGCACTGTATAACTGTAGGTAGGGAAGGCTTATCACCTACATACCCAGGCACAATACTTAATTAGATGTTTCATTGGTTATTTCATTAAATCCTTACAATAAATTTTCAAGTAGAAAATGTTATCCCCATTTTACAGGAGAAGAGATAGAGACTTTAAGTAATTTCTCTAAGGTCACATGGCTATAAAAAAATGATGGAGTAGCTTGTTTCTAAATCAAAGGCAGAGCCTGAGCTCTTTAACACTCTGCTTTTTGTAAAAGAGGGAGAGGATCTTTACTGAATGTTCACTATGACAGCTTGTGCTGTGTTCTGTAATCCACCTCAGAATTGTCAAGGTAAGTTTCATCATTACCATGCCAGTTATTGCCAGTTTTATAAAGCTCTAAGCCTGAACAATTTGGAAAGTACCTTGTTTTAACAATATTGACAGAGGATATTTCTCTGCATGTATGTTTCGCTCTATGCAACTAGTTTTTATTCCTTTGTCCTTTATATTTTGTCATACTTTGATTTTTGTAGCCAACATTCTAAAAATTAATATTTTTTACCCTAAAAAATGAAAAAACAAAAAAATTGTTGGTCTGCTTTGACATCCTGAGATCGTTAACTCATTTCAGTGGCAATGTCTTTTATTTTTAGTATGTGAACTTTTTTTTAATTATAAGAGCCTACTTTAATTTTTAAAATCCAGTTGGAAATACTTCTTAGGACTAGGAAAACGGCTTTACCATGAAATAATAGGACCACGTTTTATTCATTTAAAATTATGTGGGGGGCAGTCACTGGTGTTTAAAGAAATCATGTTATATTTCTTTTCTGTCTTTTCCTTCTCCCTCTTATTTTCATCTTTTCCTTTTAGTCTGTTATCTTCCACATTGGTACCGGCAATTATCTTTTAGTTAAATTGAACTGGAGCTTACATTTCTGTTGGACGGGCCATTGCCAGTCCTTTCCTAAAAGGACAAGAATATTATCTCTGTTCGGTAACTGGGTGTTGCTTGTTCACTTGTACTGTACTGCGAAGGAGGAGGGGGAAATTAAGGTGTAAAACAAGTACTGTCTTTTTCTAAAGGAATTAGGGACTAGATAATAAATATATCTTTAATTAAAAATAATCAAGTGATTATAACAAAGGTTAAGCATGTTTTAATCATTAAATTGGGGTTCTGGTTTAATATTTCATTCTTAAGTGACAAAAATGATTCACTGAGCCATATTTTTTAGGGCTAGTGAGGTAGAAGCAGCCAAAGGTTGCGTATGTATCCATTGCAGACGGAAACGTCATTACCCAGGCTTCTCACATTACCCACTGTATTTAATCTTTATTTTAGCATTTCCTGTTTGTATTTTAATTTGCCAAATTTAAAACTTTCTTACAGAGCTATGCTTGTTCTACCTTAAAAAAAGAGAACACCCCTCTGCTTAAAAAAAAAATGGTACTTCCTGCTTTCATAAACAGTCATGTGCATAGTTTAGCAAGGCCTGATGCCTCTGGAGCTTTTTCCCTTTATAGCACCATTGAATCCCAGTCCTAACAGAAGTACTGTGAATCTTGTGGCCTCATTCTGAACAAAAGGGATTAGAGAAGAAAAATCTCTTGATATAAGGCTTAGAAGCAAGGGCAGGCAATCTTGGTTGTGAATATTTTCTGATTTTTCCAGAAATCAAGCAGAAGATTGAGCTGCTGATGTCAGTTAACTCTGAGAAGTCGTCCTCTTCAGAAAGGTACAGCTACATCTCTTGCATGAACAATTAATGGTGTAGCATTGCTAAGAAACGAACAGGACATATATATATTTTTCCTTGTCAAGTTTGCTATATAATATATTGTACTGCATGCTGGTATTGTGCTGTATTGAAGATGGGTATTTGGGCAAGCTGTTCTGCTTTTGCAAAGGGTAATTTTTTTTTTTTTTAAACAGCTAATCAGCTGCAGCATGTACACCATAACTAAGCAGACCTCTGGTTCATGTGTGACAGCTGTTGGCTTTAAAAAAATAATTTAACCAATAAACAAAAATCTTGCTTTCCTTAAGGGAATACTTTGATTAGATTTCATCTCTATATTTTGAGGTTGCTGCTACACAGATTAACCAAGGTTATTTGTAAGATCTAGGTTAAAAATACTTGATTTTTGGTTGTAATAAATATTTTCTATGTGGAAAGGGAGTGCCATATGTAAATAGCTTAGGAATTGCAAACCCACAGATTAGTCACATTCTGAAAAAGAGATATGCTTCTTCAAGTCTGTGCTAGGAAATGGAACAGTCACTGCATGCAGTAATGGTTCATGCCTGCAGGTAAGGACAAAATGACTCAGAAGTATTTTTAAAGCAATTATTTTATCTGTCAGTCATATACCCGTGAGATGATACTTCATTAAATGACTATTTGCATTATAAACAGAATTAAGATATTTTTAACCAAAATAAAAAATGAGACTAGAATTCCTTATTTTGATGTGAAAATACTATGTTCACCCTGTTTATCAAAATTGTGTATATACTATGTAATGTTTTAGATTGAGGTTTTTGGGCAAACAGTTAATGGTTACCTTTCTCTTGGTTACCTAACATTTCTACTTAATGTTGCTATTTTGTATTAAAGGAATGCCTTTTCTAGGGTTAATTTTCAGGCTTTTCTTTTTTGCTCATAGATTTAAAATTTAGGCAACTACAGAGAAATAATTTGGTGGTTAAGAGATGATTCAGGAAAAACACTGACAAAAATTAGTTGAACTTACCATGACAAAATGGATATAAAGTACACTAGTCTTGAAGTACATGATCTTATGGCAACATCATCATGTTATATTGATTTATTAGTATAATTAGGTAAAACTTTCTGTAGAACTTGAAAATAAAAGAGTTTGGGAATGTCTGTGTTTTTTTTTTTTTTTTTTGTAGCTTCTATCTTCTGGTTTGTGATTAGCCATCTGATTTAAGCACTGTGTGTGTTGAGTTGAAAAACAATCTTCAGTCTTGAGAATATTCTGCCTGCCAGTAAGATGGTGGTGATTGGAGTCGGAGAGGGTAGGGTATAAGTAGCGAACAGTCTAAATGTTAACTAGAATGTTAGAGTTTTGTACCAGGAAGAAAATACTCAATGAAATAACAGCAATAATTTTATTAGCCTTTCTGGTATGAATTCTGTTGATAAGTTGAGGACTGAATGGAGTGGATGAGTATTATTGAAAAAGAAGTTAGGAATGGGTGAAGTTTTTCTGGTTAAAATACATTCTTATAAGGAAAAATATTCTAAAATATTTTGGTGATTTTATTTATTTACTTAGGCTCTTAGGGTTGTTTGAAGGAAAGAGAGGACATGTGGTCATGACTTTAAAGTTTGGAAATCAACCACTGTACTGATAACTTTATACATAGTTTTACTGGTATTATTTTATTTATTGTTGTCTTGGGGGTGCTTAGAGATATATTTGTCAGTTGTGATATGCTTACTTAATGGATGTTAAATGTGGCTTATATATCAGTTCAATGCTTTGCAAGCATGGAAGTTGTTTAATTGATGTAAAAATATTAACAATAGGAAATACCCCTTCCCCTCTATTATTAAAAGCCATACAGTAATCAGTCAGTGCATTTGGCCTTTTAATTTGTTCAGAAGAACTTCAAAAATAATTTGAGTTAAAAAAATTCCATGGCCTAGTAGCACTATATCCTTCTAAGGAATTTAATACCTTATAGTAGCATTAGCATTGCTATCATATGCTTCAGTTTCTTATTCATCAGTTAATACAGTTTAAGACCTTGATTTGATTTTGTTTTAAATTAAAGTTAGTAGTTTCAGGCTTGATGGCCTGTGGTATTCGGAGTTTAAATACTGTCATTGTTCCCAAATATCTATTGGTAGACAGGATAAAAGATGAAACACAACTTCTTTCATTTAAGAGGGGAGAACCTAGCAGGTGGAGTGGCTCAAGTGGTAGAGCGCCTTCCTAGCAAGAGTGAGGCCCAGAGTGCAAACCCCAGTACCACCAAAAACAAACAAACAAAACCTTAAAAGAAAGGAGAATGTTCTTGGCTGTGTCAAACCAAAAGTTGTCATTCAAGCACAACCAATTTTGTTCCTGCAACATATAGTGGTCTTTTGACATTTTATGGATCTGAGTTAGAGAAACAGTACTTTTAAATATAAAATGTCATAGATACAGAACCTGTGATGAGATGTTTCTGATAATCTTTTTTTGTCTCTTATTTTAACCCAGAAAAAGGAAATTACTACTGTCACAGGAGCTAGTATTAATTGAATTATTTTTGTTTGCACAATTTTGTAAAGTGAGAAAAACAGCTAAAAATGCCAACTTTTCTTTGTTAGTTTTGAGGATGCCTTCATTGAAAAATAAAAATTTAAAGTATAATTATAATGGAATATGATTTAAAGTAAATTATAAAGGAATTTAGGAGGGTTTTTGTTGTTGTTGTTGACCAAATTAGGAAGTGTAACAACAGATCAGTATGACCTTAAAATTCAGAGTTAGGTTTTTAAATTTAATGAAATAGTGGAGGTTCATACAGCATCATTTTGTAAGGGAGATGTGGAGTACTTCTGTTCACAATGGCTGGACTGTATGTGGCTCAAATGGTAGAGGACCTGTTTTGCAAGCATGAAGTCCTGAGTTCAAAACCCAGCCCCTCCCCCCCCCCACCAGAATGGCTGACTGATATTTCCAAATTATGAAGTTACAACTTACTGTTGGTTATTGTATTTTAAAGAGAGGAAGTTTAAAAATTGGGAGTAGAGAACATCATTGAATGAATTAAAAAAGGGTGCCTGATGATGAATATAAAACAAATGATGTACTGCAAGAGGTTTAAGGAATAAATCCTACTGTGGATATTTTCTGTTTTTAATTAAGTGCCTGTTGAATCCATTAATTATCTTAAACATGATGAAGATGGTGCTAGGTAGTTTTACATGCCCACCCCCATTTAATGTAATAAACTGAATATTTAATGAAAAACTGATGCTTGTTTTTTCTTCTTCTCCTTTCCTAGCTGCTCTGCTGGGGTTTATAAGTTAGAACAGGAAGGTAGCAAAAGGAATAATAACCATAATAGCTAGGCTAAAGGTAGCAGTCACTTAAACAGTATAGATATTATTTATCTCCTTTTTTTTGGGAGAGGGTGTTGTTTTTGGAGGTTTTGGGAATCTAACCATATGCCACTTCCAAGTTCTTTGTAGGTAGAGGGGAGGGAGTCAGGCAAATGAGTGAGGAGAAATTTGTGGGCAGAAGGAATGGCTGTCGGGAGAACTCTGACAAATCATCTTAAAACGATTCTTAGCAAACAGAAGTGATTTTCTGTATCAAATTTTTTGTCCAAGTATATTGCTACTTTTTCAGTGAATTTCTGACAAGGAAGAGTTGAGCCCAGTGTTCACAGCTATTATTTCCAACCTGTCTAGGCTGACTCCAGGGAGGGCTGAGGGAGTCGGAGAAGCTGAGAGTCTACATTTACACTCAATCTGGTGTATGTCTGCTATTGTTAAATGCAAGTGGATATTGTAACTAGTAAAGTCCACAATCAGTTAAAAGTTAGTAACTAAATAACAGTTCCTAATATAGGCTTGCTTTTTCTTAGGGTACAGGCACCAAAAGGATGGTTATCCTCCTATCTCTGCCTCCTGCTTAGCTGAGATTACAGATTAAATGGGTTTCTTTACAGTGTTGGGAAAGATTGCTTAGTCCTGTTTGTGGTGAAAGGACAGAGGCTGCCACCTGTGAGGGGGGATGCAGAGACTTTCTAGTCCTTGTTTCCTTTTGGCCCAGCATGGTAGGGCACAGTACAGATGCTCAGTAAATGTTTAAGATTCGAAAGTGTTTTTATTTTTATGACTTCCCTTTCAGGCCCACAATTTTACCTCTGTTTTCCAGATAAGAAAACTGAGAACCCAAAGCCCCATACTTATGTTTCCCAGATTCTTGTACCCTGTAGGAGACATTTTTTTTTTTCCTTTTTGGCAGCACTGGGATTTGAACTCAGAATCTCATGCTTGGCATTCTACCATTTGAGCTCTTGTAGGAAAGATAATGGATTGCCACATAATTGTCTTCTACTTTATACTTTACAACAGAAAGCTCAATCCACATAAGAAACTGGGTTTGTAACATAAGGGACTGGGGGCAGACTCCTGGCTCTTCCTTGGTTAGGTCCAAATCCTAGAACAGAGGTCCCTGGGTTCCAAATTCTATTTTGAGCCACACAGCAAACTCTGGGAGATGTGGAGAAAGGATGCCTTCCCCCTCCCATTTTTATTAGCACATATTAATTGTACAAAATAATGGCTTTCATTATGACACTTTCATACATGTATATAACGTGCTTTGGTCCTATTCCTCTTCTCCCCCATCGCCCACTCTTTTTTTCCCCTTACCTTCCTGCTAATAGGTAGTAAATACTGAATTAACAAATTGCTAGCTGCCTTGTTCAGGAGAGGAGAAAAAAGGGGGGAGGGCAAGAGACCATCATATTGTTATTATCATGTGGTGGTCTATAGTCTATCAATGCTGAATAAACAAGATTGGTAAAAAGTGACAGAGATGATACATTGTCCCTCCCTCAGTATAACCGCATTTCAGATGCTTCACTGCTATTTTTGTGTCTATTTTAATTCCTTTTCTTACTTTCGAGTTTCTTAGGAGAAGGGACAACTGTAGCCTTGAGTAGCAAACAAAGAAACCTGGAAGAATATGAGAATGGAAGGAA